AAATAACTATAAAGTTAAATTTAATGCAATATGTCATAAACTTTTAAGTAACGGTAAATAAAGTTAAATTTAAAGTGCGATATGTCATATACTACTAACGCTAATTGACAATTTCAATACTATGATTGGGATTTTGCTCTTATCCTACACCCGGAACCCACCCGGAACCCACCCGGAATTTTTTTTTGCCTATTGTCTGGACTTAAGTTCCTCCGCTCTGCTCCGGAAATTATAGGTTAGCTTAATTATTTTGGACGAGAATTAAAACATTTTCTGTGTTATCTCTATTTATTGACCTAATGAACAACCGTTAAAGTAATTTTCAAATAAAAAAGATTGCTAATAACATACTTTCGTGTATGGGAAGATGATTTTGCTACTAAATACAACTTAATTCTACATTTTAGTTTTTAAAAACGTCTAAATAAATAAAACTTTTGCCTTCGATTTAATTTTTATTTAATAAAATATTTACATCAAAGAAAAATCGGAAAAACAGTGTGAAGTTATTTCATTGAGAAAAATAATTGTTCTTTTTTAAACGAATTAATGATCATGACTTCAATAGAATTTTATATAAATATTTGAATCATTTGCTGACTATTTTGTCGACATCGAGTTTATCCAAACAATCTAAATATTCTTTGTATCCTTTGAAAAATAATTCTTGAGTTTCAGTTCCATACCAAACTGGAATAAGACCAAAATGTGAAATGGATTTTATTTCCCAAACATCCCATTTTCCTGGTTCATATTTTAAATTATTTTTTCCTATTTCGTCATCGATAAGATTTGGAAGTCCTTTATGATGTTTACACATTCCATCATTGCATTCAAATCCACCGGGATGCATTTGTGACATTTTTGGACATACACCATCATTTTCGTACCAATTAGGTAATTCTTTTTCTGGATCTATAGGAAATTGTTTGGTGTTGGGTGAAAATTTAAACCTACCTATTTGGCAAGATAAAAAGTAAATTGGAAGTGGTATCATGAACGAAAATTGTGGTCGATGAAATTTTGTAAGTGGATCTTGGCTCGTCTATTCAAAATAATAATAATAATAATAATAATAATGATTATGTACGTATATAGATGTTTTATTTAAATGTGTAATATAATCTTTACTTACGATAGATGTAGCATAAGTTCTATAATATGTATTTTTAAAGGTACGACTTTTCTTATTTAAATCATTCATTGCATGAATTGTCATATCATAAGGTGCGTTATCTTCATAAGATACCCAAGGACTTTTGATTAAACATTGTAATAGACCATATGTTTTTTCTTTCTCCAATTTTTGACTTTCAGAATCACCTGAAATATCACCTGAAATATTTGAAATATTTGAAATAGATTTATCTCCAATATATTCATCCCACATTGATTTGAAATTTTTTCTAAAACTTAAATTCCAATGATCGCAATTGAAATCATATGCCAAATTTTTTATCCATTTTATATCAAAATATTCATAAATATGAACTAATCTACCAAGCCAAGCTCCAAAACTAAATGGTCGGACAGATCCTGTGTCTTCTGTACATCTACCCAATATGTAAACACCTTGACTTCCTATAATTATTAACTTATATTAAAAACAATGCTAATTGGCTAAAGTTGAAAATGATAAAATATTGGTATTATTATAACCTTTAAATGGAGATGAGACTGCTGTAAGAGATCGAACCATATCAGGGTGAGGTTCAAAATGTGCTGGGAAAAAATCACTTGCGAGTAATTGTTGAAGTTTCCAAATAGTTACACCTCCCTATCGTTATATTAAAGGGATAAATATTAATGAATTTTATGTTGATGTATTACTCCCTATCATTTAAAAAATATATTAAAGGGATAAATATGAATGAATTTTAAGTTGATGCATTACGAATGAATGTCCAAGAAAGTGGAGAGGTTTAGAAACGCTCCATTCAGGATATAATCCTAAATTAAATAAATTTAAGATTTGATAAATACATATATAGTATAAAGTTTATTTTATCTTAACAGTATATAAAATACCTGGATATTCACGGCCATAACGCGAATGGCCATATTTTAGTGCATGTTCTTTTCCATAATCAACTAAATTACGAATAAAAGGTTAAACTTATGTAAGTTCACGTGGAATAAAATAATCACCTATCACGTGGTTGTTGCGTACCTCTTCCACCTTTAATTTGATAAAAAATTTCAACAGCTCTATCATATAAAGAACTTCCACAACCAGGTGTTACGAAAATACAACGTCTAGTCTTAGGATGTTGTTTCCTTTCAGTCTTATCTACACTAGCATTATTATCTACGCTAGCATTATTATCTACGCTAGCATTATTACCTATACTAGCATTATTACAAGAATTTGATAAAAGTGATTGTAATGGACCCCAATAAGAAGGTTTGCCTGGACCCATAAACCCTTCAACTAAAACTACAGGAATTGGTTCCTTATCTTCATTAAAATCTGCATCTTTATTAACCGTTTTATCTATGAATTTGGATTGATCTGAATCGTAGTCAAAAATTTCGGGTGGCATAATACAAATTAAACAATGAAACTTGTTTAAATAAAATAATATCTTTATAAAGAAATATAGTGAAATATGATAATGACCAAAGAGAAGAATTCAAATGCCTAGGTTCTATAAGTAAGAAATTATTATATCTAACATAACGATAAGGATGAGTTTGATATCGATATCGACACATTAATAAATAAATAATTGATAAAGTAATACAAGACAAATTCGGTTTAATCGATCATCTAATTAGATATCTAATTAACACCAATGTTTTTCACGAGTAAATTCCCATCGATAATTCAAAATAATACTTTCATTCTTTTGATCCTGCTATATTTGTTTAATTTGATCTAACCATTTACATATTAGTCGAGATTTATCATTTATAAGTTCAATTGCTAACCATATTTAGTTGAAAAAAATGTATGTATAAATATGCAATTTTGGTTTTTTTTTATTTAACATATTTATATAACGCATTGAAATAAGATACTGTAGATCATACTCTTTAAGTAAAAGAAAAATTTTAGCTCCCAAAAATGTTTACCTGTCCAATGACCATACATACGTACTGTATAATAATGGTAAATACTCTGGAAATTTGTGTAACTATATCTATAAATTTGATGTTTCAAACTCATATATCGATATATATTTTTTTTACATGTTTCTAACACTTATGAGTCTATCGAAATTAGTATGCGTAATTATATAGCATGATAAATCCAGTGTTGATCATTTTTTAAGGTCATATCCAAACTTTATCGTTATATGACCAAGGTGGTCATAATATATTAGTAAATTTTATACGTAAGTCATAACAGGTTAAGTATAAGGTCTGTTATACGTATTGGAAATTTACCCGTGACTTAACCCACGTGAATGATGTGCATTTTGATAGACGCATTACTAACTTCATTTCGCTCTATATCGTTTTGGATCTTTTCGTAATAAATTCATACAGAATAATTATAAGTTAATTAGTTAGTTTCGGGTAGCGATAGTATCAATTAGAAATGTCTATAGCTTGTATATCGTAGTTCTTAAAAATATGTATATATAGATCTGGCTTTTGCCTTAGTGTTAACGGGAGACCATAGTCTCATTGTAAGACTTCGACCCTACTCTTAAGTAATGTTCTCACTTAATTGACTAATAAATATCATACGACTATGTGTATCTTCATATACACTTAGCCGTCTGCCTCTTTCGATAAAGCCTTTATAAAACCTCTTTGCTAAGTCATTAAGTGACGCTATTGTACTCTGCCAAATCATTAAGATTATAGTCTTCATATTATATTCGTTAAGTCTCTGGGATTCTAATAAGAGGTGAATTCCTAGTGTGACAAGGTCATAATTTATAATTAGCCAATAGGTTATAACAGGCAACACTGCTTTCGGGTTTGTACGTATCAAATAAAATCCCGACCAATAAAATCCCGACAAAAAATCCCGACAATTAAAAATTTGACAATTAAAAATCCCTTATCTAAAATGACCTAACCCTAAATTTGATTAAATCGTGACTGTTTCTATTGCACTTTAAACATACCCCATATTTGGGATTTTTAATTGACCGTTGAAATTTTTAATTGCCAGGATTTTTGACAGTCGGGATTTTTTTGTCGAGATTATGACCTGCCTAAGCTAATAATTTAAATTAAGCTCTTCTGAGAACATAATTTTGAATTTTAAACACTGATAGTAGATCTTTAAAGGAACTTCATTATGTTAAGTAGTTCGGCTGGAATTACTTTATAATCAAATTGTTATCATTTGAATTAAACCATCTGGACTTTTTATTATTTTGAATACCGGTAATACTTTTGATGACTTGCAAACTGGCGTTTTTAGGTAAACATGTGGCAGATGAACCCTGATTTCATGTGACAAAAAGTGAAGATTCCCCCAATCAATACAGCAATAGTATGATGAATATTGATTTTGATGCGCATTTGAATAATTAAAGATAAATTGCAATTTCATGGTATGGGAATGACGATTCATGTACACGTTTTCTATAAATTTGTAATACTTTCCTGAATTATACATAAGCACAATTGTCAGATTTGCAATCAAGAGTTCTGTCTTATTTTGTTCATAAACGGATTTTCGTTCCTTACTAAAAAAAATTTCCTATCATAATTTTGATATAAACTATACTATATACTGTATAAATTTATTTTAAATGGATTTTTGGAAAATCTCACTTTACTGATAACGATAAAATTAATAATATTGGTATTAGAGCCCGTCATCATATGATGGGTTATAGGGTATGGAATAAATGCTATAAACATGTTATGCGAATATTGCAGAAACCGTTATCTTATATAAAGAGACAGGGTAATATACGTAACCCCTCTAGCATAACCACCTAGATCGTATACGTAAAAATATAATTGAACCTTAGCATTATACGAATTTTCAAGTAATTCTATTATGAAAATTTTTATTAGATTTAAAATTATATGTATTTAATCTCCATAAGTAAATGATCTTGGTGGTTATGCTATATACATATGAAATTGTTAGATCTGTATTACAGCTATTTCTATAAATTCCAAGACACTTGAAAAATGATCGATCCTGATACCCCAAGAATGGCTGATCGCTTTTGATAATTTTGAATTTAAACGAATCATAACGTTTATAGCATTCATTTAAAAACAAAAATCATCGAAAACAGGTCTGCTGTTCATTAAAAATTGCATGTTGAATGGTATGTCAAAGTGCAACTGAATGGTGTCATTCAAACTTGTTTAAGTTTTGATTTGACTGGTGATCAACAAAACAATTGCTATTCCATTATCTATTTATCCATTAGATATCTGTAAATAATTATCCGAATATCTGTCAGATCATTCGGATATTCTGACCGATACGGATAAATTTTAGTGTTTGACATAGTTTAATGACCATATTTAGAGAACGGTTCTCTACTATCTTATATTAAAATTTAAACGAATCCAAAAAATAGTATGTGGCATTCACTTAAATAAAACCGATTCTTTTAAAGCTGGTCAAGACTTATTCTCGAAAGATCGTTTAACATCCTTAAGTAAAATAAGTGTATTTTCCTACGTCACAATCACAATCGGTTGTGACGCAAGAAAAATAATGAGTCCTGACCAATCTTTAAAATAATAGATTAGGACTCAAAGGATTTTTGGCGTCTTCAATCGATTGTGGAGTGATGATCATCACTCTTGAACGATCAAAATGATCCAGAATTTTGCAAACCGTGATAAAGATACATCACTTTGCAAACCACCATGATTAATTTGTTAATTGTAGCTCACATGTCTCACATGTAGAATTACTGGCTGTCATCTAAGTACAATCAAGTAGTTGAATGAGGTATATAATTTTGCATCATTTTGCAAACACATACCATAAATTTCCCAGGAGCGAAATAACTGATCTAGCGTCACTAACCTAAAAAAAAATTCGCTTTTAGGTTAGGTTTTGCTATTAGGTTAGGTTAGAAAGTGCTTTATTAGTACCAAAATTTCGTAAGGAAACCTTTACTAGATAAAAAGTTGAGTTATGAGCGATTTTTGGGCCGTTTTGATTTTTTGCGTTCACACCTGATCTTGAAATCTGATTGGCCAGTGAGCTTTTTTTAGGTTGGACAGTTGGGTGAAATTATGAAATTTGGCCTAAATTAAGTTTAATTCGGGCCAAAGCTAAAAATAACGCCACTAGAGTAGGATCGGATCGCCACTCAAAAAATTTCGAAGTAAAATTTCGTGCTGTTAGGTTATGATTAGGGCTTTGTCCCTAAGTTTAGATTCGAAGGTATTTTGCATACTCAAATTTTGTAAGGAAAATTTTGACTAAAGTGCAGAAGGCTCTTTCATAGACTAAATATTGAGTTATAAGCTATTTTGATAAAACGAGCGTTGTTTTGATCGTGTTACGTTACACCTGGGGTGGTGATTTTACCACGCTCATACAGAATGTACGTACGTATAGGATATATAAAGATCAAATAGTTTACTGAATAAGATAAGTGACACTTTGCTTCACTACAATATTGGTTTACTGTATAATAAAAATATGATTTTATTGAAATACTAGATCGCTGATAATTTTTACGTAGATTTTAAATGGTATGCCATAGCGATAGTCTTCACTATAGGTGCAGAAACATTTACGCGCCATGTTTTATTGTTAAATTATATCAATGCAACTTTACAATAAGATGGGTTAGTGGTGGCAGAAACGATCCAATAAAACCTAGAGTATCAAACACATAATTGAAATTTTCTATATGAATTCTTCAATATCTTATAATCTACGGAGCTCTAAATTGCTAGGGAATCACAGGACTGAAGGTCGTTTCTGCCACCGCTA